AGGCACATTTGTCATTTGGGAAGACTGTACATGTAATAAATATTGTTCTTCTGTATCATTTGCTTTAAAATGCTGCTGTCAGTGCTACCTTAACCTGCAGTCTGTTGTAAAGTAGATGTAGCATCTCAGCTACCACAATATAAACTAGAGGAAATGATGCTTCAGCTGCATGGAGTCTTAGTCAGGCCCCATCTGGAATACTTCAGTTTTGGGCACCTCACCTCAGGAAAGATATATTGGCACTGGAGGAGGTGCAGCGCAGATTCACCAAAATCATACCAGGGTTTAAAAGGTTAAATTATAAGAGCAGGTTGCATAAACTTGGTCTGTATTCCCTTGAGGTTAGAAGATTAAGGAGTAATCTGATCTAGATGTTTAAAATGATAAAAGGATTCTATTGGGTAGCTACAGAGAAATTATTTCCTCTGGTGGGGAATCCAGAACAAAGGGGCATAATTAGAGCTCGGGCATTTAAGAGTGAAATCAAGAGGCTCTGACATCCAAAGTAAATATAGTGAATCAAAATTTTAAAACATATGACCAGGACAGCTTAGTGCTGAGTGGATCTGAGCTTCATTCAGAGTTTACTGAACTAATTCTTAAAAAACTCAGTTCGCTCTAATTCTACTTGATGTAGAATGTGGAGACACAAGAGACAAATCAATAACTTCCTAAATCGATATCTTCTTACGTTCCAGTAGAGTTGTTTTCTGTTGCAATAAGCTTTGAAATGTTCCTTGTGTGTAATACTGTATTAATTTTAGCAGTCAAATGTAGTTACCATCAGCAGCATATATTCATCCTAAAATTATTGCACCAGCTCTCAGCAAATAACCAGATAATGTGCTTAGTCTTCGAACAATATCTGTATTTGTACAATGCTTAAAGTAAAGATTAAGTACCAGCTTTGGGATTTCCTACTTTATGAATAGAAATAATCTTTATCCTACCTTATTGCATGATGGAGTTGTGTTTTGTGAAAAGGCACAGTGCCAATTGGGAAGATAGATGGTAGATTGGGAAATACATGTAATAAATATTCTTTTTCTGCATTGTTTGCTTTACAATGCTAATTCTAATGCTCCTCAGCCTGTTGTTGTTGTGATAAACACGCCACACAGTCCAATATATACTCAACTTTGGGGGCCAAACATTGTTGGTGGGGGGGAGGGGAAGGTCACACTACAGACCAGTTGATGTATTCTATGATTCGATGTATTTAATTAACCACTGCCGCATTCTTCAATAATGTCTTAGTTAACACACGACAAGCCACAATGTCTACAGTATCTCATAGAAAAAACACTTGATGGTCTAAAGAAAAACAAAGATTGAGAACTACAACAGGACAATCAGTATACGAATGATAAAGACAACTGGAGATTTCTGGTATGACATCTTCTCACACAGGCATGATCTGGATTTCCAATATTTCTGATTTACTAGTTGAATTCATTTTGCCTCAAAGCCTTTAGTCCATATTTAATAATAGGGGGTGTGGGGACTAATGATGCAAAACAGACGCACCTTTCCTCTCTCTGGTCTGCCTATTTTGTTGCAATGTCTCTCCCCCCTTCCCCCATTTGTTTTGCATTATTAACACCTCTATTCCCCTGGTCTGTTGCAATCCCCACCTCTGTTTTGCATCAGTAACACCTCTTTAACCCATCATACCCTGTCCTCTACCCCATTTTCTCCTTTGTCTTCCTTGCCCTGCCTCCCCACTGTCTGTTAGCCCTTAAAAGCCTCTCCCTCCCAACGTGCCCCAGTTCCGATGAAACATTGGCTCACTTTCTCCATAGATGCTGCCTGACCTGCTGAGGGTTCCCAGCAACTTCTGTTTCTGTTTCAGATTTCCAGCATCTGCAGTATTTTGCATTTTGGTTAATCTTTAATGAGTTCAACACACAAACAGCAATGACATCCTAAATGAGTTGTAAAATGACACCACTGGATGGTAATGTCATGACATTGTAAAAGATGTTTTCAAATAAAAATAGCAATGGAAGCAATACGTGCTCAGTTGCTTGCATTCTCACCTCTGAGACAGAAGGTTGTGGATTCCAGCCTCATATCAGGACTTTGAGCTCACAGTGTAGGTCAACACTCCAGTGCAGGGCTGGGGAACCACAGCGTTGTTGAAGGTGCCATCTTTTAGATGAGATGTTAAACTGATGCCCTGTCAGTTCAGGTTGATATTAAATTATCTGGCCAATAATCCTCCAGATAAAATTAGTCATTCACTTCTATATCAGGCCTCTTTCATCCATGACATATAATAATAATCCTAATAATAATAATCCTTGCATTTGATATAGCACTTTTCACGTCGGGAGGACGTCCCAAAGCGCTCCACAGAACACACTGTAAAGTGAATTGACTGTATATTTGTGGGCGAACGCGGCAGCCAATCGCGCACAGCAATGTCGCACAAGCAGTCGTAGATTGAAAATGACCAATTTATCATTGTTTTTGGTTTTTGGAGGGATTATTATTAGGCGTGTGGAGTAAGGAAACTTGCCCAAGGTTACGCCCTGCCTGGAATTGAACTCAGGTCTCTCGCTTGCAAAGCGAGTGCTCTAACCACTGAGCTACAGAACTCTACGGATCCTTTGATCCACGGATACATCACAGAATCATACGGTAGAGTCCTATAGCTCAGTGGTTAGAGCATTCGCTTTGCAAGTGAGAGAGCTGGGTTCAATTCCCGGCAGGGTGAAACCTTGGGCAAGTTTCCTTACACCAAATGCCTGATAATAATCCCTCAAGAAAAAAACCCAATAATAAATTGATTACTTCAATCCACGACTGTTTGTGGGACACTGCTGTGCGCAATTGGCTGCTACGTTTCGCCCACAAATATACAGTCAATTCACATTACAGTCTATTCTGTGAAGCTCTTTGAGACATCTAGAAGACGGGAAAAGCGCTATATCAAGTGCAAGGAGTATTATTATTACAGCGCAGTAGGAGACCATTCGGTCTGTACCAGCTCTTTAAAACCAGCTATCGAATTCAATCCCACTCCCCCGCACTCTCCCCATAGCCCTGCAAACTTGTTCTTCCCAAATAATTATCTACTTCTCTCTTAAAAGTTGATATCAAATCGGCTTCCACCATCCTTTCCGGCAATGCATACTAGATCCGAACAACTCGTGTGAAAATATTACTCCTCTGTTTCTTTTAACAACTATTTTAAGTTAGGGTTACCAACCCACCCGCCAGTGGAAATAGTTTCTCCTTGTTCACCCTATTGAAACCCTCTTAATTTTGAAAACTTCTATTAAGTCTCTTCTTAATCTTCTCTGCTCCAAGGAGAATAATTCTAGCTTCTCTAGCCTCTCGTGTAACTGAAGTCTCCTACGCCTCCTATGATTTACTTCTTACTTTCTAGCTGCATTACCTTGTCTGTATGGAACTTCATTTGTCAGAGATTGCCCAGATGACAATTGTATTGAGTTTGTAAGATCATAGCTGCCTTTTCAGATTCCATGGATCCTCCTAACTTTAAACATGAACAGTAGAGTCCCCTAAATGGATCTCTGAGACAATTTGTTCATGCAGTTTTATTTTTGTTTTGACATTTTTTCTGATTACATCCCCTACGTACATTTAATTCCTCACACTGGAATCTATCTATTAATATGACCCAGAAGGCTTCAAATCCCATGCAACTCCATTAAAATTGTTCTTGTTTAAAACCCTACTTAAATGTTGCTTGTTCCTGAACCGTGTGCAGAAGCACAACAATCATAGGTGCCCAGTGTGGGAAAGTCATTGTTGTCCAGGACAGCAATACATCTGAAACTGCCAGGAAGAATCAATAAGTGGCAATACCACAATCCCAGTGTGTGCTAGGCCAGGGCAACTAGCAGAATATGCAGAAAGCAAACATAATGAGAAAAATGACAACTGTGAGCCCCACTCCTCCTATAATAATAATAATCTTTGAATTTGATCACGTCTTCAAAACGTCTCAAAGCGCTTCACAGAATAAACTCTAAAGTGATTTGATTGTATATTTTGTGGGCAAAAAATATCATTTTTTAAAAAATAATGTGCTCACCTTGTGCTGTTGCTGTCTCATTGAAAGCTTCAAACAATGAGAGGCTCCTGAAATCTTGATGCTAAATAAATGTCTTATTAAGACAATTGTGCCCTTGAGTAAAAGGAACAGTTTTCAATTTGCATTATGAGGAATGGGAAATTAGATATAACAGCATTTGATTGCATTGCATTATCTTCTGTCAGGAATCAACTAGCCTAATTACCCTGTTTCACAACTTGGTGCGAAAGTTGTTACAGCTGCTTTTTAAAGTGCAGAAAACCAGGAGGTCATATTTGAATATTTTAGGATAAGCTTATGATTTTCGATCACTTTTTGCACTCTTAAACGAGGCATCGACTAACACCAAAAAGAACAGTTGGTGCTTTACATAGCAGAAAGCGATAAATGTTCTCTCCCAGCAATAACATATCGTTCTCTCCTAATTTAAACAAAATAAACCCTTTAGAACAAGTTAGGAAGAGAAAGAAGTAAAATAGCACAAAAACTCTTGGAACCGCTGGCTGCATCAGTGTCATTGCTCTAGTTTATCTAAAAATGGTCTCTTCAAGTCTCATGCCCTGGGGAGCCATTCCTTCCCCAGTAACACACAGATTTGCCAGTCAGAATAATGAATGAAAACATGTTTAAATCATTGCAATAAAAACAACAACAACTTATAGTTATATAGTGACCTTCATAAAAACTACCATCTTGGAGCACTTTACATGGCCAAGTTTAGCTAAAGGAAATTAAAGCTGATCTAGGGCATGATATCTGGCAAGTATCAATCTAAACACAATCAGAACATCAGTGGACCTGAAATCAAGGATAGAGGCATTAAGTTATAATGTCATACAACACATGGTAAAAAATTTATTTTAAAATATACACAGACAAAATACTATGTATTGCTTCTAATATCATAAAACAATTAAGACTAATTTCTGGCTTGTTTTCATAAATCAATAACATTCTGCCAACCTCGATCTTGCGAAATAAATGACTCGAGTGGAGTTTGATCAGAAAATTACAAGACAAAATACTAGGCAGATTAAGTGAGTGGGCGGAACTGTGCCAGATGCGTAAATTAAAGTCATGAGGAAACGTAGCACATTTTGGAAGTAAGGTTGTTAGATGGATATACATTCTAAACAGTGACGTACTTGGGAAGAAAAAGTAATTTCAGGGTTCAGGTTCCGTACAGTACAGTATTTAAAAACTATTTCATATGCATTGAAAGAAATCAAAAGCCTAAGATCGGCTTTACAATAAGGGGTCTGAAATATGAAAGCAAAGAACATCTGCTGTGGTTGTTTAGAGCAGTGGTCAGTCATTATTTGAAGTATTGTGTTCAGTTTTAGGTGCTCAACCTTAGGGAGAACAGAATAGTTTTGGAGGGCATCAAACAACGATTCCCCAGAATAATACCTGTGATGAAAGGGTGGATGTATCATGAGAGGTCAGGTAAATGTGGATTATATTTATTTTAACCTCCTTTAGAGTTGACAGGGTTAAAGGGTAACTTATGATTTTGGCCACTTTTCCATGCATTTGTGCAGCTAGGCCTGTTTCTGTATTCAATGTCTCTTTATAGTCTCCAAAGCTGTGACTGTGACCTGCAACGATAGTGAAGATAATCAACAAATAAACTGTTCCCTACTGGCTACAAAGATGGCACTGTTTTTTTTTCTTTAAGACTTTAACTAAGTCACTATTCTGTAACGCAGCAGCTGAAAGGCCGATTTGCTTGGAAGCCATCAGCCTCACTGACAAGCAATCCAGTGACGGTGGCTGTGGCACTTTCAGCTGGGTTTGGGCACAAACACCATTCAGAAGTCAGGGGATGGTGATATTTAATATTTAATAACACAGCATAACCTTGATCCTTAATCAAGGAATGAAATGTAATTAGAAATATTGTAACTTTGACTCCGTGGAGTATTTGACCCCGATATCAGGACTGATACCTCTATCTGCTAATTTGTTACAGATTGCACTTTTTTAAAATAATATTCACCCAGATCAACTGTAACTATGTGACTAGAACTAAAGTGCAGGGAGCCTTCTGAGTGTCATCAGAGCTTCTCAGGTAAATATTACCTTCTCTGTTGTTGATGTTTTCTTTTCAGGGGACATTGCTAATGGGACAACCAAAAGACCTATTGCCAATCACTCGCATAGCGGAGAACAACAAACTGCCTGTGTGCACCAGGAAGCACCATTTTCTCAGCAGCTGATCAAACTGGAATATGTTTACTTCAGACCACCCCAATGGTCAGAGACCCTACCGCCCCTCTACATTATAACACCAACGTACACCAGGCCCGTTCAGAAAGCAGAACTGACCAGACTGGCCAACACTTTTCTCCATGTGCAGAACTTACATTGGATTGTGGTGGAAGACACTCCTCGGAGGACCAGCTTAGTAGCGATACTGCTAGAAAAAAGTGGCCTAAATTTCACCCATCTGAATGTTCTAAGTCCAAAGAGCGTGAAGCTCAGTCTTGCAAAATCATCACCTCGTACTCCAAGAGGCACCTTACAGAGGAACCTGGGGCTGCGCTGGCTCAGAGACAAGCTGCCTGCAAACGACTCAACACAGGGGGTGGTCTATTTTGCTGATGATGACAACACATACAGTTTGGAACTTTTTGAAGAGGTGCTTTTATTTCAATCTACACTCGCTTTTCTCTTAAACCAGTGCTAATGTGTTTACTTCCCTTTGATCTAGTTTCAAGTGTTCCAGGAAGCTATCCCACGTGAAGGGCGCTATATAAATGCAAGATGTTGTTGGGTGCTGACAGTATCACACTCCATGAATGCACTTTACATCTTACGGAGCCAATGCGGAACCTCAGCGTTCTGTCCTTCATCCCCCACATCCATGCCATAACCTGCTCTGCCTTTCCCCACCTCCGCAACACTGCCCGGCTCCGCCAATGTCTCTCATCACAGGCCGCAGAGACCCTTACCCACATGTTCATCACATCCAGGCTTGACTATGCAAACTCTCTGCTTGTTGGCCTCTCCAGCGCCTCCTTACACAGGCTGCAGATGATCCAGAACTCTGCAGCCCGTGTCCTCTCCCGCACCAGGCTCTGCGATCCTATTACCCCCATCCTCGCCCGGCTCCACTGGCTTCCCATCACAAATTTCAAGATCCTGGTCTTCACCTTCAAAGTCCAACATGGCCTTGCTCCCCTCTACCTCTGTGAACTGTTAACCCCCTACCAACCTGTCAGCACCTTTTGTTCAGCGGGCTCCCACTTCTTCACATCCCCCACCTTGCACGCCCCACCATTAGTGGGCAGGTCTTCAGCCTCTCTGCCCCCACCCTCTGGAACTCTATCCCACAGTCCCTCCACCTTGCACCCTCCCTTGCCTTCTTCAAGACCCATCTTAAGACCCTCCTCTTCAACTGTGCCTTCGGTCACCCTACCCTCCTCGCCCTCCACCCCTCCTGAACGCAATCACCAGGTCAGGTGTGGATCTCTGACTGTCCAGCACCCTGGGATGTCCTCCTGACCTGAAAGGCATTATACAAATGTAATGTGTTGTTGTTGTTGTGTTTGCAATTAGCCCACAACTGGCAGCCGCTGGTCATTAGATAAGGTTGGGGACAGAGTGACAATGGACTGAATGGCCACATAACAGCAATATCCTTGGTAAAGGTGTGACTATAGACTGTGAGAATGTGGAATGCAATGCCACAGAAAGCCATTGATGCAGTGATTGGGATGTGTAAAGGATCTAAATATTTGGAAAAAGTAAAAATACCAAAGGATAAGCAGAAAGAGTAGGGAAATGGGATTAAAAGATCTCCTAGTAAAATGGTGGAACATGCTCCATGGGTTGAATGGCCTTACATTTTTCCTTATGCTCCTTTTGCAAGTTCTATAAAGCTACTATTATTATGATTTATGCCAACTTAAGAAAAAAAACATTAAAATAATAATCTCTGGATTTGTTATATAAAACATAAAATCAGAACATTTTAAAGTGCTTTACAGAAGGGAATTATAATGCAATATAATAATCTTTAGATTTGATATAGTTTCATTAACATTCAAGGGGATTCACAGGATCACTACAAAATTGTATTTTGTAGGTGAATGTAGCAGCAAATGATTGCACAATATCCCACTGACAGCCACTTTTCTCTTAGGCTAGGACACTGGGAGAAACTACATTCTCGTTTCAAATAGTACAGTGGAATTTTAACATCCACCTGCACAGCCAGGTGGGACCTCAGTTGAATATCTCATCAGAAGGCAGGCATATCCAACAATGCAGCACTCCCTCAATATTGTATTAGTGTCAAACTAGACTGTGAACTCAAAGTCCCAATGTGGGTGTTGAACTCACTACCTTTAGCATTTGTTGTGGTACTATCTGAACACAAGTGTTTGATAAATACCAGCTGTTGGTAGAATATCCATCCAGGTAAGTGGAATCACTTTCTCCTAACTTGCTCAACACCATTTGTGGGGAATGGAATTTTTTTTGAATGGCATTTTTGTTGATGGAATGATTTCTAACATTTTGGTTTAATATTTATTTTACGGGTTTGATCTAACTAAAAAGGGCAAAATCTGCCATCTCTCTGCCCAATCTAAGGCTAATGATGGCTTAAAAGTTAATGCTGGGCTGGAGAGAACGTTTTGCCTATCTTCAATAGAATATTTGGTTACTATAAAGAGGAATTGAAAAGTGGCTTGTTATATTTACATATAACATTGGTTAGTCCACAGTTGCCCTAGCACCAAAGTTCTATATTTGCCTCACAGCCAGTGATAGGTTTAACACTACCACATTCCTAGGACTGACTAACAGTATTCACTGCAGCAGAACATTGCATAACAACAACAACAAAATTACATTTGTACATGCCTTTCACGTCGGGAGGACGTCCCAAAGCGCTGGACAGACAGAGTTACGGATCCGAGCAGGGGGTCGGGGTGGGGGAGGGTGGAGGGCAGGGGCGGAAGCAGGGAGATTAGAAGAACGGTCAAAGAGGAGGGTCTTGAGGTGGATCTTGAAGGTGGCGAGATGGAGGGACTGCGGGATGGAGTTCCAGAGAGTGGGTGCAGAGTGGCGGAAGACCTGCCCGCTGATACTGGGGCGAGCAAGGCGGGAGACGTGAAGCAGGCTGGAGCCCGCTGAGCGGAGGGAGCGGACAGAGTGGTGGGGGTTAGGAGGTCGGAGAGGTAGGGGCGAGCAAGACTGTGGAAGGCTTTGAAGGTTAGGACCAGGATCTTGATCTGTATCCTCTGTGTGATGGGAAGCCAGTGGAGTTGAGCAAGGATGGTATTGATAGGGTCGTGGAGCCTAGTGCGGGAGAGGACACGGGCTGCAGAGTTCTGGATGATCTGCAGCCTGTGGAGGGAAGAGTTGGTGAGGCCGATAAGCAGTGTGTTTGCATAGTCGAACCTCGATGTAATGAAGGCGTTTATGACGGTTTCGGCAGCCTGTGGTGTGAGATAGTGTCAGAGCTGGGCGATGTTGCAGAGGTGGGGGAAGGCAGAGCAGGTCATGGTGCAGATGTGAGGTAGAAAGGATTAGTTGAGGGTCAAATAAGACCCCAAGGTTCCGGACTGGCTTAGCAAAGTGGAGTGTGCAACCATGGAGGGTGATGCTGTTAGCCTCATACATAAACTAAGCAAGTAAACACACAAACTAATCAAGACGACCCGATAACATAGGAATTTAGCAATAAAAAGGTATTGAGGCCACACTAACTTACAATGATGTGTTATATAGGGTGTTGCTTCCGAATACAATTTCCACCTCCCAGTTTTAAGACCTCAGTGTGAATCCAAATGGTTATCTGGGAGCACAACAAAAATCCATTCCTTTCAATACATAAAACACAAGAACATTAGGGCTTGCCACGCTATTTTGTGACAAACTATAGAACAGAGCAGTGTTCCTGAAGAGATCACTGGGAATTCTAAGCGTTTCTCTCTTCCAGTAAATTCTCAAAATTGATACAACACACGGGTATTACATTATGCATGCTTGTTTGTAGATGTCTCTTATTAAATCCAAGTGAAGAGTGCTTTACTTGTTTTTATGTTGCACATAAGTTTGCCACTGTCTAAAATGATGCTACTTTGAGTTTTCGTGTCGTGCATGACAATATCAGAGCTATGCTATGTAACAATTATATTGCTTTGTGTATTTTTGCTACTGGATGCAGGTAAGGGCAACGGTCCAACTCCAGGATAGGTGCCGCAGTTTCCTCTCACTGTGGTGTTTCCAGAATGAAAAACTCGCAGCTGTCAGCAGTTGGCGCATTTCATAATTCAAGTGCCTCAGATTAAAAGTTTATGCGAAGTCTCTGTCTCTGGTATTTGTTTTATGGCCACAACTTTATGGCAAACAATGTTATTTTCTCTGCACATTCCCAATGCAGTTTGATTTGGTTTCCTGCAGTGATCTCCTATGTTCGCACAGAAAATGTGTACATTCTATATCTGGAAGGGATAATTTAAGCACAGACCTGGCTGTGCTAGTGAAGGAAAAATGACTTCTCATAATTTGTGCCTTGCTGAAGCAAATCTCTGTTTGTGTTTGTTGTGACATTTTAGCTCTTAAAACACATTCTGTGGATTTAGTGACAGTTAGATGTGAAATATAATTTCAATTTATTGAAATTTGTCAGTAGAAAGGAATTATGTTGTTGCTCTGCTGTTGCCCATTCATCCATTTGTCCAAATTGGGCCTGCTGAGAGCACACTGGGTGCATTAAAGCACAACTGTTACATTTTGTGATCTTTGAAATTTATCAGCTTTCCCATTTTATTTCCTAATAGTATACGTTGGGACAAAACTAGTGGATAAAAACAGAGGAGGTAATATGATATGATACAATCTAATTGCTCTTTGAACAAGCGAATGCTTAGGCAAAACAGCAACTTACACCCATCATGTCAGAGAACAAAACAACAAAGAGATAAGCAGTCACATGTAGAAAGGACACCATCTTTCTCTCTGTCATGTTTCCAGATTAACAGACTCACTAATAGTATCAAGTGGAGGTTCAGACAGTTTTCTTACTGCTATTTTAAATTTTAAACACTGTCACATTTTTTTAAAATCAAGATTTTTTTCAAAGCGCTAACTGAGAATGTTTCCTAATCATCCTGATGCTTGATCTTCACAGATGAGATTCACGAAAAAGGTTTCAGTGTGGCCTGTCGCATTTGTTGGTGGCCTACGATTCGAGTCTCCCAAATTGAGTCCAACAGGGAAAGTCGTTGGATGGAAAACAGTCTTCGATCCAAACAGGCCATTTGCAATCGATATGGCAGGATTTGCTATCAATGTCAAGTTGATTCTCAAGAAGCCTTCAGCCAACTTTCAACTGTATGGAGTCAAAGGAGGGTACCAAGAGAGCAGCCTGCTGCGGGAACTTGTAACAATGACTGACCTGGAGCCCAAAGCTTCGAATTGTACTAAAGTAATATTTCAAACAACACACATTTAACACAGTATTTTTATCCTTTCGTTGATTTGCAACTGGAGAGCTAATTTTTGTACAAAAATATTATCTCTTGAGAGAAAACTATGCTTTTAACCTGAAATTGAAACTTTAGGCTATTTGTATTGTCAGTTGATGGAATCACGAAGCGGGTAGAACGTCCACTATATTATCTTTTAATATTTAAATGTTATCATTCGGTTCCTCATTAGAACCACCATAATAGCAGCATCGAAAAATGATGAGCCTCAGTGGTGGGACAACAATAACAATTTGCATTTATATTGCATTCATCTTGTAGGATAATAATAAATAATAATTCTTGCATTTGATATAGTGCCTCATCGCGTCTTCGAGATGTCTCAAAGCGCTTCACAGAATATACTGTAAAGTGAACTAGACTGTATATGTCGCGGGTGAAACTGCCTCAGAACAGTGCTGATGACAAGCAGGGGAAGGGGGAGATGATCATAGGCGGGTTTGAAGAGCATCTCCAACATTGCAAAAACCCCCACCCCCACCCGCACTGCATTCCATACAGAAAAGTAATCTGTACAGAAAATGAAAAGGACTGGAGATTCTGGTTGATAATAAATTAAAGCTATCACAGCAGTGCTCAGTAGCAGTGAGTAAGGCAAACCAGATGCTGGGCTATATTAAAAGGGCAATATTGAGCTGAAATAGTGGGGTAATCCTGCTACTTTATAAATTGCTGGTGTGACGCATTTGGAATACTGTGTTCAGTTCTGGTCACCGCAATATAATAATAATCCTTGCATTTGATATAGTGCCTTACCATGACTTCAAGACGTCTCAATACGCTTCACAGAATATACTATAAAGTGAATTGACTGTATATTTTCTGGTCAAATATAAAAAGAATATTGCCATGATTGTGAGGATACAGAGGAGGGCAACTAAAATGATTGAGGGGATGGAGGGACTGGACTACGACGAGCGATTAGATAAACTGGAAATGTTCACACTCGAGAAGAGAAAGTTGAGGGATGGTATGATTACCGTCTTTAACATTTTGAAGGGAATAGATAATGTAGACCATGATAAGCTGTTTTATCTTGTACTGAATAGTAGAACCAGAGGGCATAGCCCATGATTGAAGGGGGTAAATTTAGAATAAATCTGCGGAAACACTACTTCAGTGAGCGAGTATTAAACTTATGGAACAGGCTGCCTAAGGAGACAGTGGAAGCAGAAAATGTAATTTGTTTCAAGAATAAATTAGATAGATTTCTGCTAGAAAATAATATTTCAGGATACAGTATATAGTTTGGTTCAAGACGTATCCAGCGACTTCCAGAATGGTGGAAGGCGAACTAGATGGAACTTGGTCTTCTTTCGCCTTGCAAATTAATATGTTCTTATGTTCTTACATTGGATACTATACAGTCCAGGTTGGTCCAACCGGCCTGTGGGCGAATTTCAACCGCCCCCACCCCCCCACAATTTTATCTGACCCACCCGCTCCCTCCATAAATCATAAATGGAAGGGAAACACAAAAATATTGCTTATGAGACCCGCAGATGTTTCTCAAAAAGGGCATCTGGCCTTCAGCAGTCAAAAGGTTGGACCATCCTGGCCCACTATATTCTGTGAAGTGCTTTGAGATGTCTATACGATGTGTTATCAAATGCAATGATTATTTCATGATTCTATTATCATTCACAGTGAGCACCAGCAATCACTATTCCCTCTGATGTCTGTGTTGCAGGTCCTGGTGTGGCACACTCGAACAGAAAAGCCAATCCTAATAAATGAGGGGAAAAATGGATTTACTGATCCAAAGATGGAGGTGTGATCTGCACTGAACCAGCTGTGCTCTGTAAGTCACATTCTATTACAATGGCTGTATCAAGATTTCAACTCAGTTATCAACTAATTTTATTTGGGGATCTTGATTTCTCGGTTTTGGTGACTTAGTGGAACTTGGAGCCCAAAATCCCAGAACTGGATTCAAATCATGCTCAGATCTGGTCTGCATTTCTCCAGGCCCTGCTATTACTCGGAAGAATCAGATATGCAGTTATTAATAATCTTTTACAGCCCATAGATTAAAACTCAATTGATTGTAAAGCTGAGCTCCTGCTGTACCATTAAACACAGCCTCAGTATGACCTTTTTAAGTAGGGAGCAAGTCTGCATGTCTCAATTCCTGTATTTACCTGCCTGAATGAACATTATCTATTTTCCTAATTAATTAAACCAGGACTCAATTAAGAGACAGCTTGATTCCACAATTGGAAGACTGCAGGTGGGCATTCTGAAAAAAAAGATCAAATGAGCCAACGGGGCTTCTTCATTCATTGTTCTCTTGCAATCTTCTGAAATCCCCAGTTTCAGATGTGGTTTCTTAATCAGTGGTGGCCAACCCGTGGCCCACAGGCTAAAAGTGGCCTGTGGGGCAATCAAGGAGTGACCTACTGAACATTTGAACTAGTCGAGCTGAGTCTTTTAAATCAATGTACTGAGCAGCAATATTTTTGGCGCGGCCATAAATTAAGAAATATTCAATCAAAATCTTTTTTTTTCGGTTGTCCGCCCCAAAAGGTTGAAGTGACCAATTTATTACTTTTTTTTAAGGAATTATTACCCTCGGAAAAGCGATCCACCATTTGACTAACAACCGGGTTCCTATCTACTGTTAGGTAAACAGAGGCGTGCGGAATAAGGAAACTTGCCCAACATTTCACCCTGCCGAGATTCAAACTCAGGTCTCTCGCTTGCGAGGCAAGTGCCCTACAAATACTTTAAAGGAAAACAGATGTGTGACATTTTGATAGATCAGAAATACTGCTTTGGACTGAGTACTAGACTTCCTGGATGTAGCTTTAGTTCACCAAACAGAAACAGAAATTGAACACATCAAAATCCTGTCACTTAACCTGTTCCTTTTGAAAAAATGATGAGCATTCACCAAATAATATGTGTGTTCACCAAATACTGACATTAATAGAATAAGTAATCATCCCTGCAGCACTTCACAGAACTTCACAGAACTTATTTAAGTGTAGAGGCTTTATGTGCTTTGTAGGTGTCTATTTACTCAGCATGGAGCAAGATTCAAACCAGCGAGCTTTTGGTTCAGGAGGAGCAGCTCTATCCCCATGAAGCTTATATTATAGCATTAACCCTCCACAGCAGTTATGATTTCTCTATGGATAAAAATTGTTTCTTTCCATTGTTTTCAGGTATCTTGTGAAGATCCTGCTGCTGGATTGATTTACACTAGGAAAAAGTTGCAATCTAAACTTCTCTTCTGCACAAGTTCTGTTTAAGCTTAACGAACGCTACAAAATCAGCTACTGATATTTTATTTTAAATTATTTTGAAACAATAGTGTACTCTTGATCATTTTCATTCTGATCCTTAGTTTTCCACCTTCTGATAATTTAACGCTGGTTAGCTAGTGGAATTTAATGAAACATTTATTTCATAGAGTCATTCACATGGTGGGGGTGGAGGGAGTTGTCTCATTATCTCTAAATTTAATTTCCAAATTAATAGTACATTGCAGAATTGCAGCTGTTTTATGATTTGAACTTGATCAAGTGGCTACATAACTAACTATTGACTTTTTAATATTTAATTATTGTCCTCTTGCCTTCAGATAAGGCTTGAAACAATTTTCTGAGTACTCGGAACAATTCCAGTGAAATCAGCAGTTCAGGAGCACATGAATACAAATAACAATCATATCACCATTTCAGTCAAATAATGTTCATTTGCTTCGCCAGTCATTGTACCATTTGTGCACATTGGCACTAGGAATCAGATGGCTAGGATGAAGAATGTTTGCTGCTTTTCTGTGATCCAGATGTTGCTTTTCATCCCCATTATCCTGTCTCTAATAGTGAGGAGACTATTTTTTCACAATAAAAAATAGTTCCAACAGGCACATACAATTATCTCATTCTTCTCCAAATGGCAGATCAGGCAGTGCATATGAATCAATGATCTATTGTTGTGCTCTCTCATACAATTTCTGCCAATTGTATTTTGATCAGCCTAAAGTTTCACAATCTGACTTTATTTTTGTTAATAACTAATGCAAATTCACTATTAGAGCTACTAAACTAACTTTACTGGGAAAATATATTAACATCTGCCTTTCTGCCTCTCCAGCAATAATTCCTGGCAGTCTCTTGTCAGAGCTGCCTCTCAAAACATCTATTAATCCTCCTAGCTACTATTCTTCTATCCTGATGATAAATTGCGAATTGTCATACATAGAAAGCTCTCTTTTTTAATTCACTTGGCTCATTTAATGCTAATCTTCATGATTTGGGCAAATAACCTGCCTTTAATTGCTGTATTCTGATTTATTTCCACCACAGATGTCCCTCCAGACTCTCATGTCCTTTAGAGTTTCTTCTGTATCTACTACATCCCGGTCCATCTTTCTTTCTTCTCATCAATTTTGCTGGTGTCTGCACTATTCCTAAGAAATATGTTAATTCTTAGTCTTTAAATTCCACTCTTTTACTAATGATTCCACTCCAACTTCATCAACATACTTCAGATCTCCCCCTCATGCACTTAATCTTCATACCTCTCCAAATGCAGTAGTTGATTCACTAAACCTTGATCATTTCCATGCTTTTGGATTGACACTTGTCAATCCAAAAGCATTTGACACTACTGGCCAATCAGAGAATCTGCTTTTAACCCCAATTTATCCATCTAATGCTGCAGTATTAGGAGACTCCAATTCCGTGTATCCTTAATTTTAGCTAATAACTTCTTAAGAAGAATCTTATCAATTACTTTGTGAAAATCCATGTAAATTACATTCATAAATCCTTCTTGATCTACCAGTGGGAAGCCCAAGAGATTAACGTGGATTCAAAGCACAACCCTAAAGGAACAATATAATGAACATCCTCTCCTGCAAATCTTATTCCTGGGGAACAGCATACCACCCAACTGTAAATGAATGAAAAATTTAACTTCTTGCAGTACATAGCTGGATCTGTCGTTGGTTCTAAACCATCGTCAGAAATTGATGTACATGAACTGTACAAATTTAGCCCTTCAATGCATACTCACAAGAAAAGCTTCACAGTGTTAATGAAAAAGGTTCCTGGAAACATTTTTGCAATTAAAACAAAGAAATTGTTTATTCATTTGCTGCAGTGGTGGACATTTGGAAAGCCTAAGATCTTACACAGGATGTGTTTGCTTCAAACTATCCAGACTGACAAACAAAGGGCTCTTGTATTTGGTGCATTTGCTTCAGTAAGAAAATGAGGTATTGAATTGGAAGGAGTTTGCACAGCATTGAGTGTCCATTTGGTTTATCATTCACCATATAGTATTTGGAAAATTTTAAGAGCTACATTTGGTTTCACTGTCATGTTGCAACCAATTGCGTAAATATTCAGCCAGCCATTTAAAACATGAAACATGAACTTCCTAAAACAGTTGATTTCACTTTCTTTTCTTAACCTTCCCCACCAATTGTGAAACTCTCCAAACGGTCTCAGTTACTGATTAAACCATTAATCTTCAATGCCACATAAAACATGGTGGAAGTTAAAATAATAAAATGCTGTATTACTGCTCTGCTGGACACAGGCATTTTATGATCTTCAGTTACGTTATGCAATTTACCAAACACCCGCTAGTGAGAGGGTAATAAACTTGGCACATCCTGGTTAAGAGGTGCTAATTAATAACTTGTCGATGAAAACATTAACATTCCAGCCAACACAGAAACCTGCGTCACTCCAGGCAACACCTTCCCCCTGACTGAGGCCACACCACCTAACTACACTTTCCATCATACCCCACAATAATAAAAAAATAATCTTTGCATTTGATATAGCGTTTTTCACGTCTTCTAGACGTCTCAAAGCACTTCACAGAATGAATTGACCATGTATTTGTGGGCGAAACGTGGCAGCCAATTGCGCACAGCAGTGTCCCACAAACAGTCGTGGATTGAAAATGACTAATTTATTATTGTTATGTTTTGGAGGGATTATTATTCGGCGTGTGGAGTAAGGAAACTTGCCCAAGGTTTTGCCCTGCCTGGAATTGAACCCAGGTGTTTCGCTTGTAAGGCAAGTGCTCTAACTACTGAGCTACAGGACTCCACAACCTAACCGCCGTGGTGATGGTGTGGCTTTCATCCCCGGTCCCCATTCAGCCTATCTCCTTAGTTCTCCGAACCTGCCCCTCCTTTAAGCACCTTACCCTTTATCACCCCTCCAACCTTTTCCTCAAAATTCTCCTTATTTATGCCCCCCACCCCGAGCCCTCCCCCACCTTCCACACTCTCCTAACTTCTGTCTCCCTCTGCTCCAAACTCTCCTCATCCTAGGTGACTTCAGCTTCCACTTCGCCCCTGCCTGCTCTACCTCTGCTGACTTCTCCTCTCTCCTCTTCTCCCTCAACCTCTCCCTCCACATCCACTTGGCCACCCATGTCCATGGTTGCCCTTCAACTGGGTGATCACCTGGAGACTTACCATCTCGGACATAGCCATCACTGATAAACCCATCTCAGACCACCACTTCATCTCCCTTAACATCTTTGTACCTCTTCCTCCTACTCAACCCATTTCTATCACCTACTGCCCTTGGAAAAAAAGTCTCCCTCCACTCCCTCTCCCCTGCCCTGGAGTCATCCGAACTCCTGCCCCACTTGCTCTCCACTCACAATGACCTCCCCTCCCTCGATCTCTCTTCTCCACAACTCTCTCTCCTCCATCCTTGACTCCCTTGCCCCCCTCACCTTCCAAACTGCCTCATATTATAATAATAATAATAATAATAATAATAATCCTTGCATTTGATA